TTTTTTTAAGAAAACCTCAGGAAGTAAAACATGTTATTGTAGTTTGTTTCTTTGTTTTCTGATTTCTTATCTGAAAAGAAACTTGATCAGGAACCTTATTGGAAAGTATTTTATTATTGCAGTTTTACAAAGGACACAGAGATGTTTTGCAAACTCATCAATCTTTTATGGCAGAGATATAATATTAACATGTCTCTTCTGTGGAAAACAGAGATAATATGAGTATTTTGCTTCCTGTTTTAATATAAGGATAGAATTTGAAGCATCCAAGTGAATTCCCTAGGACTGATATATTTGAGCGATGTGTTTGATAGCCATCTGAAAGCAGCGAATTTTGTTGAGCATCTTTGATCCTAATTGAGCAAGTGTACCTGGTTGTGCATCAGAAAGAAATGTTGAACCTGCTTTTATTGGGGCAGGCTATGGCACTTTACCCTATTTCTATGGAAATGTTGGTGACATTGTTGTGAGTCCTCTGCTGGTGAATTGCTACAAGATTCCACAGTTGGAGAACAAAGATTTGGAACAATTAGGGTTGACTGGCAGCCAACTCCTGAGTGTGGAAAACATGATTCTTCTGACGATACAGTATCTTGTGCGGTTGGGTAAGTTATTTTTGATAATCATTTGCTGGTGACTATTTTTATTCTTTTTTTTGTAACACCCTTTTCCCTTTCTTTCTCACATTCATCCACCTGTCTCTCTCTAATTTTCTTTCTTTCACGTTTCACATTCTTTTCCTTCAGCACCATTCTGTATGACTTTTTTCTTTCCTCTTCTCCACTTCTTTTCTAACTCCTTTCCTTTTCTCTTGGCTTCTTTGGGTCCTAGCAGAGATGAATTGTGCCACCTAGTGTCCGGTCTTATGATGCTCCAAATGTCTCCAAAGTAATCGATGTAGGCAGAACCATAAAGATTGTACCATGGGCACCCCTTCCCTGGGGAGTCTGGCCAGGCCATCTTTCTGAAAGTGCAGCTACCATTTGGAGTGCAAACATAGCCATTGTCTTACACAATTATTTTTCAATTTTCCACTTAACCTTTTTATCTTATTTATCTGGTGTCCCTACACCCGTTTTTTTTCCCCCTTCTCTACTACACCCCTTTGATGTAGTTCCATCATGTTCTCCTTGATTGAGGTAGTAACCGTGGACCTCCCTGGAAGGTTCTCTAAACTTTAAGGTAAGGGGGATACATAGGTCACGAACCTTTCACTTCCTCTATTTGATATGTCCTCCTGAGCCCCACAGTGGGTAATGCAGGTGCCCTAACAATAGCATAGTGGTTCAACAGCATTTATATTGAAATGTCCTTTATTTTGCAAACTGCAGTAGGCCATCTAATATGCAGCCTAATTATACACTCACTCAAGGACTTCAAGCCACTGATTTTTTAGAAAAATGTTCAAGACATAAAATTACACATAAAAAATTTTGTGTGTACTCTCGTGAATTTTTTTAATGTTAGAAAATACCTCTGTATTTAGACATAATAAAAACACTGAG